TGAAAGGAAAAGCTAGATGTAATTAATTAAAATAAATAAATAGTATGCCCTTATTTACCACTACGCTTGAAATGAAATAAACTAGGAAAATCTCTTTGACGTCTGTGTCTCAGGCATAGTTGCTACGATAAAATCTTTTTTCTCCGCCCGCATAATGTGTACTGGTATCTTGATTTACTTGTTTGTACGAATATACAGGGTTTTTTGGCAATGGTTATAATGCTTATAATTTTCATTTAGCAGACAACTGTGTTACAATCGCTGCTTGATGTATTTTATCAGGTGGAAGTTGCTAGCGTCTTGTTTTATATAATGAATAAAATTATAAAACCATCCGGGAGTCGAACCCATGAGCTCAAACTATGTGAGAAAGACCACGTCAGTTATCAGTAGCAGCAGATAGCAATGTCCTCGTGATTGATTTCGGCCATAGTGGCCTATCTCATTAAGCCTAGCTAACTGCGCACGAGTTGTTTTAGTGCACAAGTACGCTAGCAAATACAAGTGCACGCTATATTCTATTTTCTCTTATTACGCTATATTCTCTTAAAGTCCGAAAGGACGATACTTCGATTCGACCGGCAAGGTCAACTTGCAGTTTGAGGCACTGAGGTGCAACATCGCCAACTTCCTAACTCCCAGCTGCTACTGAGAATTTCTTATTATAACTGAAGCTTCTATTTATTTTGCTCGTGAGAAGTTCCATTAGAAATATGGCTTGTATAATATAATATAACCAGATATAGAAGTTATTATATGTTACTACAAAAAAATATTTTCTAAAACGAGCTATCTAAAATGTTGAAATAAAAAAATCTCAATAGGTAATATGTAATTTCGTTTTTTTTTAAATAGCAATAAATGAGCGCTTGGCTCACTTTGTAGTGACCCTATTTGCTGTGGCAGCGTTCGTGCACGAATGTTTGTACTCCAGTCATGGGTGTTTATATTTATAATATGTATGTATTTAAAGTTATATATGTGTAGTGTATCAACTATCTGGTATTCATAACACAGGACTCGTAGCTTACCATGGAACTAGATGGTGCTGTGTGTTAATTTTACAACATATTTATTTAAATATTTAAATAAAATAATTATAAAAGAAAGAAACTTTATAAATAGTTTGTGAACAACCAAACAGACAGATTGACCTTCACCTTTCAGTATAACATCTCCATAATAATCAAATTATAAAGAAATAGAGCAGATGGCAAATATAAATCGAATAATTATCGAGAGCATAAATCTTAGTTCGTACTAGTAATATAGACCGTGACTTTTGAATGTTCCGGGTTATAAAATATTTGTGTTCAAGGAAATATCTCATCTTTTGTGTTGTTAATAGTTCAACACTGTCAATGCGAGTAATAAAAAACGTGAAAGTTTTGTGTATTTGTTTGTCATATGTTCATGTTTAAACCGGATAACAGATAAAATTTACCAAGGATTGCATTTTGGATGCTGACATCTCCGTAAAGGTGAGGAGGGAGAATACCTTAATTTTTGTTTCAATAACCATGCGAACGAAGCCGCGGACAAAATATATGTAATTAGCAACTCACCCTCAGTTCGCTCGGGTTCTCTCTAGGTACGTTTTAACGGTTAGTATGGAATAGATAAAATTATATAAGTATACATAGGTATAGAAAAGTAGATAAGTATCTACATGAAAAAAATATTAAAATTATATCGTTTACTTGAGAAATGATTGGTTCCACAATAAAACTTCTAACTCCCCCCCCCCTCACCTCCCTTGTTACCCCCTTAAGAGATATTCTTCGGAATAAAAACTTTTCCATGTCATTCCCAGTGTCTCAAAGTACGAGCATCTCCATACTAAATTTCATTTTAATCGGTTCATCGGATTAAGCATGAAAAGGTAACAAACAGACAGAGTGTCTCGTATTTTCGCATTTATAATATTAGTATGGGTTACCAAATTTAATACGTCCAGGTAAATTTGTAAGAAATAATCAAATTTCTAAGAAATCTATTGTTAACTGTAACGCCGGCGTGTCCGCGGTCGTGGAGGGTTTAATCAAATTCAGTTCAGTTGGTTTAAATATGAAAATGCAACAAACAGACAGAGTGTATAATGTTATGATATTATGGTGTATGGTTAGCTATGGATACTGTCTACATATCAAACTGGCTGTCGTTTGCAAACCATATTAAACCTGTTATAACAAAGTAACCTTACTCGATATCGTTGTTCTTGATTCGAATATACTGTTCAATGAGTTTCCTGTGGTCAATCGATCCAATTCCCGATTAAAGAGATTTTTTATTTCAGATGTTTTTTTGAACATCAAAATTTCCAGGCTACTGTCAGTATATTATTTGGTTTTTTCGTTATTAATAAAAAGTTAGGAAAGTAAAGGAATATAGGTTAAATTCTTCAAGAAAAATAAAAAAATAATTTAATTAAAAATATTAAATTATAGGTATATATTTGAAAAATATATTATATTGACCACACGTTTGGCTCAGTTTGTAGTGACCCTACTTGCTGTGTCAGCGGTCGCGGGTTCGAGTTCCGCTGGGGGCATTCATTTCCGTGATGAGCACAAATGTTAGTACTTCAGTCATGGGTATTTATATTTATTTATAATACCTATGTATTTAAAGTTATATATGTATGTGCAGTGCAAACTATTTGGTATCCATAACACACGCCTCATAGCTTAACATGGAACTAAATGGTGCTGTGTGTTAATGTCCCAACATATCTATTTATTTATATGGTAACAGATATCACCACTCTCTCTCTACCCGCATGGAAATAAACAAATTTTAGCTGTTTAATAGCTAGTATAAATAACATTGTTATTATAAGCAGGAAACTATGTTAGTCAATATGATTACTTCTTCATATTTCTTAATGAATTAGAGTGACATTTGAAAGCTTTTCCTGGATTTTTTGTTGTTATTCGTCTATCTAAAAAGCGAGAAAAGCCGCAGATATAAACTAGTGTATGTCATGTTTGTACTTACCAGACCAAGTTATTTACACCTAAAAATGAAAAATATGTAAGATTATAATGAATAAATCTACGTGAGCTATATATTTGATACTAAAATATTCATGTGACCTTAATTTTATATGGAATTGGGTTCGTCTACCCGGATATCAACTTGATATTGATTTGAAAGATGGAAATATTTAAATGTAATTATAATATGTTCTTCTACGTGATATTGGCGAAGTAACCTGCGCTCAACTGACACGCTTTGAAGCCATTAACAAGAAAATTGAATTGAATTATAATCGCATTATTATAATCTATACTAATATTATTAAGAGGTAAAGTTTGTGAATTGTGAGTTTCTGACGTTGTAGGGGGTAATTTCTGGATCTACTGAACCGATTTAGATGAATTTTGGTAAGAAGATAGTTTGAGATTCTGGGAAGGACATAGGATACTTTTTATCCCGGAAATCATTCCTTAAGAGGGTGAGAATGGGGATGAAAGTTTGTATGGGGAATCAATCTAGGGACGAACCCGAGCGAAGCGACGGTGAGCCGCTAGTATTATATATGCGAAAGTTTGGATGGATGTTTGTCGTTCAATCACGCCAGAATGGCTGTGCGGATCTGAATTAAATATGGTACAGAGATAGATTATAGTCTGGAATAGCACATAGATTACTTGATGTCCCGAAAATGCACGTTTCCCGTGGGAAAGATTTATTTTCGTTTTTCACAAGGGACGAACTCGAGTTTAACGAGAGTGAGTCGCTACTATGTTATAAAGATCATAATATATAAATATATTTTTTTTCCAGATTATTACCCAATCTTTTACCTGACACTTTTTTCTTCTATACCTGTTACAAAAGCAGATTAATGCAGTATGTTCGTAGTATAAAGTAAAGAAACACAATAAATAATAAAATGCAGTTTAAAACTTTAATCATGAATGAGCTGAGATAATAACTTTAATTTTCATTAGCAAAAATAGAAGAAGTCGCGAGTTCGATTCTCAGAAGTACTTATCTTGATCTGGAACAAAACATTATAGAGAATATCATCCAACCAGTGAATGATTACTATACAACTATTCATTAATCCACATTATTCTGCAGTTATTGTTTTTACAGCTGCAAACTGGCCTACATAACTATTAAGTAACTTATCATAGTTATCCTACTAATATTATAAATGCGAAAGTTTATGAGGATGTATAGATGTATGGCTGTTTGTTACTCTTTCACGCAAAAACTACTGAATGGATTTTAATGAAACTTTACAATAATATAGCTCGAACATCAGAATAATACATACGCTACTTATTATAACGGAAAATATACGGTTTCCGCGGGATTGATTTGTTTTTGTTTTTCTAATATGATATAATTGTACAAATAGATGATAGTGTTCTATTACTTTATAAGATACTTAATTCTATTAAAAAAGAAATAATATAAAAATATTCGATAATAATATTCTATTTAAAATATAATTTAGTAACTGGAATGAATAGTTTCGTTTATCAAAACGTAACGTTAAGCTCCGATTTGATAAATGCACATATGATTATTTCCATATTTGGTTTAATTTTTGTTCCTACAATATATGTATTTTATGTAATAAGTATGTAAATTATGTACATAATATATTCTAGCATAATAATTCTGATAAAAAATAAAAATATTATTTTACCTGCAAGAAAACGGAAAAAGGGTCTTCACTCACCATAGGTATCATTATATTCTTTTATATATGCCTGTAATGACAACAAAAATGTCCAGCGAGCCGTAAACTAAATTGGCATGGCGGGTGATTATCTGAACAATAGCCAACATATACATAAAATTAATTATGTATGATAAAAACTGATTGAATTCTTTGTTTAGATATGTGGCTTCGTAATTTATATTCATGCTAGCATTCAATACTAAACGCATACCAACACGCAACAAGCAAAACACAGTATAGTATTAAAAATATTTATTACAATACTGTTTTATAAATACATACTAATCTATATCACTTAGGGCTGGATCTCGTTAATGCTGTTCACTTCGTTTATTTCGTCGGGAATATCGCGGACGGTTACTTCTTCACGATTAGATGGAGTAGTTGCTTCCTTATTATCATCATCATCAGCATCAGCTAAAGTGGCTGGTAGCCCTGTGGTAACTGGTGACTTGGCTTCATCGATTTCTATCGGGGCCACATCACTATCTTTTACCGGGACAGCTTCACTCTCTTTTACCGGGACAGCTTCACTCTCTTTTACCGGGACCGCATCACTCTCTTTTACCGGGCTCACATCGCTTTCTGAAAGCGAGGCCACATCACTCGCGTTTACTTGGGCATCCTCTGGCTTTTTGTCCTTTTCTACTTTTTCTTCATTATTCCATGACTCCGTACTTTCGACAATCGGAACTTCTCTTTCAACGACCTTTTCCTTATCAGCATCAGCACCATTTATTGGGGCTGTGATAATCAAATACTTGTCAGCTGTTACCTTTGCAGTAACATCTGATGCGCTAGCGTTGATTGGCAAAGAGTATGTGTGTATGAATTGGCTAGCAAATAAATCGTGATCGTCTTGTTTAGCTTCATGGGCCCCTTGTACAAGGATGAAGTCGCCTTTCACTTTAACTTTCAGGTCGGCCAAGCTGTAATCCTTCACACTAACGATAACTCTGAATTTATCATCATCAGATTCAATCCTCGGTCCGATGTCAGCGAAGGCAGAGAACAGCTTTGTCAATGGCGCAAATATGTTACCAAATGCCGGAAACCTGAACCATGGTGATGGATCGTCGAAATCGGTGTCGGTTATTGTTGTGATAGGTCGCGGAAAGAAGCCGTCATCATTCGCGGGATAAGCAGCCGTTAGAGCTGCTAATGCAAAAAATACAAACAATCGCGACGAGAACATTGTGTAGACGTGCGTTTTACGCCGTTATGTCATAAAAACTGCCGGCGGCGCGGGAGTTTGAGGCTATATACCTGAGGGGGCGGGGAGAGAGCGGGGCAAGCGCATCGCCGACCGCTATGACGATATCACAAAGACTTTGAAAACTAGATGAGACATTGTATGATTCATTTCATGTTGTGAATAAAACAAAAAGTAATTAATAATGGAAATTTTCGATGTAATTTATTAACTTTTTTATGGTGTTTACAACTGAATGTTTAGGTATAGTTAGTTAGCTTGAAAATATTAAAGTCATAAACGTTCAGTTTTTATGTGCAATAATAATTTATTTAAAAGGTATTATTGGTTACTAATAAATCATAATTTATTTATTACTCATACTCTTTAAAAAAATTTTATTAATTATAAAATTTCAGGTTTATTTACTAAAAATAAATATACTTAAATAATATGTATATAAAAAAGGATAAATATATAATTTATATTTCTCTTTAGCTCTATTCATTTCATTGCAAATAGACCGATGGAAGAAATGATTTACACTCAATTTTTGAAATCGGACCCGTCATATTATGAAATGAAAGTAAATGTACTGTGATAAATAATAAAAAATGTATGTATGTAGGTATATGTTTATTAATTCAGCTTTTAAATTCGGCTTCGGTTATAGAGAGTAACATAGGCAACTTTTATTTTAGAAAAAGAAATAGAGTTCCGTTCAAAAAAATTAAAAGGTACCTAGGGACGAACCCACGCGAAGCGAGGATGAGTCGCTAGTATATACTTATATATATATATATATATATATATATATATATATATATATATATATTATATATATATGTTTATATATATGTATATATAATACTTAAAAGTAGCGAATCATAAAATACATATCAAAGACATATCCATCAACCAGTCATCTTTAACAAGCGGCGCGCGACCTTGGAAGGCTCTAGATTCTAGAGTAATCCAACTATGTTAAATTAGCTCATTTTTCTTCAAACGCATCCACATTTATCTGTTTTACGTGACTAAGATTTGCTGATTTAAGCATATATACTGTAAAATAACTGTACACGTTCGTTTCGTGATTAAAACTTATTATAATACGTGTTTGGATTTCCTAATTTCCTCATATAATATCAGAAATTTGAATATTTTGCTTTACACTTCAACTCCTAAGCCAATTTTTTTTTAATTTGACAAACACTGACATATGGCGTGTAAAAATAACAAATATTTATTATCCCCATCAATAACATGATTCCTATGGAATAACTGGAAAACCGATATTGCATAAGTTTTTAGAATAACTACGTAAGAGAGGAATTAGTGAAACGCAATTAATTATAAGTAATATATGTCGATAGTTCACCGGAACATGGGTGGTGTGTATATTGCGTCGTTGCCAAGTTCGATTTTAATTGGAGGCAAATGTTTTTTAAATCATAATTATACCTATATCAATTTATTGCCTCGGTGGTGTAGTGGCTAGCATGTACGGCTGCACACTCGGAGGTCCTGGGTTCGAGTCCCGGGTCGGGCCAAGTTTAGTTATTGAGTCTTTCTGTATAGTAAGTCTCAGTAACACCCCAGGGTTGGAAAGTCAGCGGTGTTAACTCTCACTGGTCGTGTCGAGTGGTCGTCCCACCAGAGTATGAGAGTGACAGGAATAGAGAGTGCACGTTGTGTCTGCGCGTACACTTGTGCACTATAATATCTCCTGCGCAGTTGGCTAATCTCAATGAGATTGGCCGCCGTAGCCGGAATCGGCTAGGAGAACATCACCATCATACCTATATCTAAGTCTATATATGTCTAAGTACTTTTTAATTTAGATATCGTCTGTTTGTCTGTCAATTTAATTGCACTTCATTTGAGATTGATTCAAAAAATGTTAAAAACATTTTTAAGGTATTTTTTAATTTTATTAGGTCCGTAATATGATAGTACTTTAAATAACATATGGAAACATCAGGTAAATAATGAAATGATCAATATGTAATTTTCTGGCTGATTTCGGCCACGGCGGCTAAAATCCCTGAGGCTAGCCATCTGCGCAGGAGGCGTTTTTGTATACAAGTACGTGACAAAATTACTAAACTTGTCTGATCCGAGATTAGAACCCAGGACTTCCGTATAAGGTCGTTGCCGTTGGTAAGTCTGCCTGTCTCTATGTCTGTCGGTGTTCCAGCTAATCTCTGAAACGGATGGACCAATTTTGACGGAACTTTCACTGGCAGATAGCTGATGTTATAAGGAGTAACTTTGGCTACTTTTATTTTAGAAAAAAATCAGGGTTCCGCGCGAAAAAGTTAAAACTAATGATATTGAGACCAAATCCGAGGGACGCACTCGAGCAACGCAAGGATAAATTGCTAGTTATCTATATATCTATATATATATATATATATATATATATATATATAATAAAATTCTAAGTGAGCCGAATATGCACATTAAACATTTTTTTCAAAATCTTATTAAAATAGACATTATTATCGATACAGAGGCCGAATCTATAGTTTTTAAAATTCTTGTCTTGTCTGTCTGCCTGTCTGTCTGTTACCGCATCACGGAAAAACCACTGGAGGGATTTTGATGAAATTGGGTATGGTGATAGCTGGTTATCCGGGTCAATATATAGGATACTTGTTACTGCGGGATATAGTAGGATATAGAATACTTTTTACTCCGGGAAAATGTATCATTTCTGAGAAAAAATACAAAAACTGCAATTTAAGAGTATACTAATATGTAAAACCAAAGAATTTGGTTTTTGGTCATCTAAACGCTGGTGGAGCCGCGGGCAATGCTAGTTTATAATATTAGTAAGATTATGTACAACTTCCGATATCCAAACTATAGGGGCAAAAATTTAAATTATATTTAAAGAACAACTTCAGTAAAAGAACCAACTAAAGTTATCAAAAGGATTTTTATGCTCACGAACTAAGAAAAACTTTGCTAGAGTTTTCTTGAAAATGTACATTTTCTCTAAAATTAACTTTTTTAACAGTTGTAAGTTGTAATTGCTGTTAATAATAACTCTTTTATAAATTGTCTTTTGTTGTTGTACTTTTGTTGATATTAGGGATGTAGATCTGTTTGTTCGTTATTAACGCCGGGCTTAATAAAATATCTATCCAGTCTTTTTTTTTATATTACTAATATTTTTGTTCTAACAAGGCTGTAGTAGCCCAGTGGTAACGCGCTCGCTTGAGAGACCAAGTGAAGCGGATTCAAATCCCAAATCACGCACTTCTGATCTCAGGTACGAATATTTTTTAACACGAGCACCACTTGTCTTACGGTAAAGGAAAATATCATGAAACCTATATGTCTGAGAAAACCTAGCAAGTTTTCGAAAGACCCGCAATTGGCAAGCGTGGTGGACTACAATGTTTTGTTTTAACATTTTATTTGTCACTTACGCTATAACAACACGTTACAAAGAAACAACATTGACTCAGAGGTAAGTCTGAAAACTGAATGAATCATAAAAAAATATCCATATTGATAATTTTAATGTTTTAGTTTAATGCGTATGAAACTGGTGTGTTTTACTTTAAGACTTACGAGATTTTACTTGTTCTATTTTTTACATATTCATTACACATATAAATTTGCTATTTAAGATATCTGTGAACATAACTCTTGATTATTCCTAGACTGAATTCTGGAAAACTTTTTCTCGTTCAGGAGTTTGATAGTTTTACAATCTGCACGTGTTAGGAAGAAATAAATATGACGCACTCATATTTATGGGATGCAAAGCATGTAGAATGTAAGTGTTACCGACTCGTCGATAAAGGCTGCGATAGAAACTGATGATGGTACTAAATCGAAGGATTCATCAGACCGTCCAGAAATCCATATTAATATTATAAATGTGAAGGATGGATGGATGTTTGTTACTCTTTCCCGCCAGAATGGCTAAACAGATCTGGATAAAATTTGACACAAAGATAGATTACAGTCTGTAATAGTAAATAGGTTAATTTTTATCCCGAAAAAATGCGCGGATCCCGTGGAATTAATTTGTTTTTGGGACGTACCCAAAGCGAAGCGAGTGTGAGTCGCTAGTAAGAGCTAAATGTTAAAATTTAACAGTATAAATCTTTAATGCAATCGTTGCTCGTATTCGAAATTGAAGCAATATCCTTTGTACACGTGTAGTATATCAGTTACTACATTCTGCACGTATCGCAACTTATCTATCACCGTTATGATTATAGCAACTGTACTTGTATAACTTTTAAAATACAAAGTGTTCAAGTCATAATTTTAAATTTACTAAAATGAAACTAAGCTTTCATAACAGAAATTAATCTGTATAATAAAGCTGAGGCGTAAAAATTCAATTAAAGCTTCCGTAGAGCTGTTCTCGTTTTATTTGAATTCACAATTTGGTTTGCTTTTAAGTGAGATGATTCTGTGAAACCGTATTTATTATTTCTGTAAGAAAATTTATATTTACTAGTGTTCGCCCAGCGATAGAAATTCAACCATAAACATCATTGTTTTTTTTATTGACAACACTAAATCTCGTCAATAGCTATTACACAAAAAAAAAGGAAAATCGGTTGACAAACAATGGAGAAAAAAGTACTGGACTGTTTTGTTTTTGCCTATTTATATATATCTTACATAACTCTATTTATATTTTACCTTATATTATAACTAGCGACTTAACCCACACTTCCCTCGGGTGCTTTCCCACTTCCTTCATCTACCAATGTACTTTTTATCCAAAATCCAAAACACTGTGAACGAGTAACAAACCTCAGACTAAGAAATAAAATAGACTGAGTGTCATATAAATATACATGAAGCCAAACAATGTTGTAAAAAAATATACATAAAATATTTTAAATACATTTTAATAAACAAAAAAATCTGAAAGATTTTATCATAATTTTTTTTTAAATAATCTAATATTATGCTACGAGTCTCTTTCAAGGGAAAGAGTAAGAAGGGAACTAAGGTTTAAAAAT